ATAATTGTATCATGACTCAATTATTTATATGTTTTAATAGTGACTCAATTAATTGTGTCAAATAATTGTATCAATTGCATCAAGAATCTGTAAATTTCAGTAACATATATAATATATATATATATATTTTTTACAAAATATTTTTGTTATTAATTTTATAACTAGTTTTTTTTATATTTACTTGTAAAAATATAAAAAGTTTATGTCAAATAAAAAAGAAAACAAGTAGGAAAAATTGAAATCTTTAGATGGTAATATTATTAAAGAAAGTATATAGACTTTATTATATAAAAATATAAAAATTCTTTGAAACATCTATTTTTTGGATTGATAAAAGAATTAATATAAAAAGTTTTTATTTAAAATATAAAATATAATGTTTATTAATTTCAAATAGATTGAAATTAAAAAACAAGTAAATTATATACTGTATATATTATAATTTATTTTTATTTTAATAAAAAATATAAATTAATTTATTCTATTTAATAAATTGTAAATTTTTTTAAAAAATTCTAAAAACATATTTATAATACTGTACCGATATAACCCTTATATATAAATAATTTTAAGTACGTAATTATATTTAAATTATTTAATTACGATAGATTATTTTATATTTATAATATTTAATGTTTAATTTAAATAATTAAATAAATACAATATTTAACTTTATAATTGAAGGATTTTTTTAAAATACAATATATTTATTCAACTTAAAATTTATAATATTTTATATAATAATTATAAACCCAATTTTAATATATCTTTGCAACGTAATAATTTTGATGCAAGTGAAATTTTCTTTGTTATGCATACCTGCGTTATACCTGATTGATTTATATGAAATGCGTCATTATTTCATCACGCAGCCATGAAAGGCGCAGATTTATTTTTTTACAATCAATTGGTTTTGTCAAATTTATGAATCGTACACGTAATGTGCAAAGTACATGTGAATCACTTCGAACTTACACCGAGTAAATCGTTTTGAATTTAAATTTCAAGTCAATCACTTACCCTCTGTGTACCCCATTTTTTAGTCTCCGACTAGTGTGCTTTTAATTAAAATCATCATCGTTAATCGCAGACCGAAAAGTGAGGTACATAGAGGGTAATTGATCAACACAAGATTACATTTGTAAAGTATGCGAAGAAATGCTCTTATTAATAATCAGTGTACATCTGGTGTGTACACTGAATTACAAGACATGTAAAATAAATATTAACTTGAATTTGGACATGTACACATATAAATTCCATCTTGATTGTGTACTAGATAGAGCTCGAGTCCGAGCTCTCTTTCCTATAGACGATAAAATGAATAAATAATCCATAATCAAACTGTCGGTGTCATGTTTAATTAGTTGCGTTTTAACTAGTTGTATAATCAGAATCAAATATGAAACACACGCATTACCAGAATATTCTTGGTTATCATAAAATTTGTATCTTGTGGCTTAGATGTTATAACAACCGTCGAAGGATGTGTGTACATAGGATTCAAGTCTTATTTGATTTAAAGATTAAGATGACAAAATCGATAACAGCATGAAATAGTGGAAGATGATGATTAAGATACAAACAATTTTGTTGACGGCAGAATGTGAAAGACAAAGGCAGGGCGAACGCTCTTTTATATTAAAAATCCATTAATAATAATAAAATAATTTTTTTGAAATTTCAGACGTTATCTAAGCAAGCATCGGAGTAAACAAAATTCCGAGTTAATAATTTGCAATCTCAAATGGATATTGTGTGAACTTTTTCTCTTGTTTGTTCACACAATCTCATTAGCGCGAACAAAGTATAAATAGTACCATTTTTGCACGCAATCGCTTAAAATAGATAATGAATCCAAGAAAAAAAAATTTTTTTTCTTTTCTTTTTTACCCAAATCATTACCAAATATTTAATCCTGAGCCTTATCTTCTGTGCTAACACCGAATTGGTCAATTAAATTAATAGTAAAATTAATAATATTGCGATTCCGATCCAGTTCACCGTTACTTACGTAATTGAGCCTGTTGACCACACATTAATAAGTAAGTTTTAAAAAACCTTCTTCATACAAAGAGAATGGATTTCATAATATTTTACGTAATTTACGATATCAAAAGCCATTCTGCAGAGATGCCTTCTGTCATCTGAACATATTCAAGCATCTTCCCTTTATTCAGCAAACCCTTTTCGTTGGCAAATGGAGAGACGTTATGCACCAAGCAGATCATTATGAAAGTATATCCATTCCAATTTGACATTATTGTAAAAAAATCAAAGTATGCAACTTGCAATTTGGGAGAGGGAGAATGAAATTATAACCGAGTTCTTTGACAGCCATACGTGTGGAAATAATGATGATTTGTCGAATCAACTACCTTGTTAACTTCAAAAAGAATTATTCGAATGAACAATAAACGTACGATGTTTCAGTGTTGTTAAACGGCTTGTCCATTGGTAATTGTCACATTCTTTTTATTATGCCATCTATCACATCGCATAATAACTCTTAGCCAATGGACAAGCCGTTTAACAGCACTGTTGCACCCAACGATCAGAACATCGCTTGACCTTCTTGTAAACCCTGCATTCAAACTAACCAAGGACCCAGAGTCTGTGACTTCCTGTTAGGGTAAATGACACAAAATAGATTTTCAACGTTGAATGGACGATTATGATCAAAGAAGTTCAAGATAATTAGAGTTACATCTGAAATCATTGATTTCAAGTTATCGACACATGGATGACAAAAGAAAAGTAAAGGATCACCATTCTTTTCTTTTAGCCATCTTGCATCATAAAAGAATAAAGAATCATTCGAACCTTCAGAGGAACCAGTCTTGATGACATAAGTGAACATTTATCTCAAGTATATACTTTATATACAGTATGTATAGTATATAACGTACATCACGTGTATAAAGAGAGACCTGAGAACCAAATATTGCATAGTTCCGATTTCACGGACACAATCCGGTCATTATTTATTGTGGGTCCCTAAACATTTGTCAATTAGGGAATGGATCCAAGTGGTTATTGTTTGTACTAGTGAAAAATAATGATCATGCATCGTGAATAATTGACGCTGAAACTTTTTTACCCTTAAGTGTTCGAAAATTATCAAACGATAGATGTACCTTTCTAAGGAATTAGTTCCATGGGTTTTGGATAGGCGTCCGAGTGGTTCGAATGCTCGCGAAGCACCAAAAAACAATTTTATTTTATTTTCAAAATAAAACGCAAAACGTATTGTTCGCTTATTGGATTTTTTTTTTTTTTAGGTTACACGGTATGATTGGTTATTGGCAAAATCTTGGGAGATGCTGTCATGCCATGTACGTTGTTGTCTTCAAATTATCACAACCATGGACTTGAAATAGGCTTTTTTAAACAAGTGTCACTAAAAAAAGTTTGAAACGACTATCCTTCTTTCTTTTTTTTTTTTAAAAAAAAAAAGATCACGCGATGAAAAATTTACAAATAAGGCATCTCAATTAATACATGAGTTTGGAAGCTTAATGAAGCTCAAAAGATTTGGTCAATTCAAATACCTACCCTAAGAATGTTTCCGATGATAAAATATCTCTTAGATATCCATCCGATTCGTTCCGAATGATGTGCACATGGAAGACTCATGAGTACTTGTTGGTATCAAATATTCGGATATTACGACCCAAATTCAACATAGTTTGGATCGCATCTCGTCCAACAAGTACATTAAATACTTCTTGCAGTACAAAATGATGGTTTATCTGACGCTAAATTGTAAACGCGTACGGAATTCATCAGGCTATATGCAAATTGGTTCTCTTCCGGGTTTGGAATAACCTTGAAAGGATAAATTTCTCATTGGTATCGTTTTGGTTAGTGGTACAGACATCAAAAAGAAATCGAAAGCATAAAGATCGACTTTAACAAATCTGGCAATTGCAATCCCCCAAAAACACATGACTTGTCCAGATTATACTGTAGCGTATCGGTATTAAAACATTCAATAAGTGATCTCTTATTATTAATATAAATATGCTGTGTGTAATATATTATATCCAATTTATTTCAAGGCCTAGAATTAATAGGATAAAAATAAAAATCAAATAATTTATTTATTCAAAAATAATAAAATCCATTTTTTAAAAAATATATTCTGCATTTGTAAAAATTGTCAAATATTAACGATTATTTTTTAATTTAAAAATCAAAGTTTTTCGCATCCATCCATTCATTATTCAAATATTAATTATAAATTTTTTGATTGTATTAATATCTAAATATATAACATTTGAAATTAATAAATTTTTTAAAAAACGATTTTTTATTTAATTAGGTAAACATGATTACTTTATTAGTTATAAAAACATATAGAATTCTATATATAAAAAAAATAACAGCATCTCTAATATAATCAATTGATTAATAAATTTAATGTTAATTTGCTTATGTAATTCACTTAAGCAATAAAAAAATATATATATTAAAATCAATATATAATATATTAAAGATAATGTTAAACAATTTTATGATATTATAAAGTTATATACATTGTATTAAAAAACAACATTTCCTGAATACAAAGTATACAACAAATTAAATATTAGTTTGTTTATATATCTATATCTAGCTAATATTAAAAATTTTTTAAAACAATATTATATATACTAAATATAGTTGAATAGTAGTTATGTCTAATTATTTAAAGTTTTTAATTAAATATAAAGAAAAAAAAAAAGTAAATGAAAATTAAAAAAAAAATAAACTAAAGTTATAATAATATAAGCTATTAAAATTATAATTAAATTGTTTAAATTATAAGATTTATATAAATAAAAAGAATATTTAAAAGTAGATCAATTGTCTGATTTTTTGTATTGGCACTGGCTTTAAAAATATAACTTTTATTAATATAAATAATAAAATATAATTGATATTATTTATTATTATAATAGTTATTATTGTTGTATTAAAAATTAGTTTAAACAGATTTGGTTTTTGTTTTATTATATTGATAAAATCTAATTGAAAAATAATTTTTATTTTTTGAAAAATAATTTTTATTTTTTGAAAAAAAATTTTACAAATTTTAAAATAATACAATTAAGTGTTACTATAATAAGATTATATATAAAAATCATATTAAAAAAACAATAGATTCAATAATTTAGTTTAAGTATGTTTTTGAAAAATATTTGATTTAACAAATATGATGATATTGATATAAATGATTTTTATGATATAGTAAAAATAAAAACAAAAACAAAAAAACAAAAAAAAAGCTGTTATAAATCTTTACTTATACAATTGAAAAATAAACTAAACTTTTAAATTTGAATAAACTTTAATCAAAAATTTTATTTTATTATATTAATTATTTTAAAGATTCTTAAGTTCTTGAGTTGAAACCTACTTGTAATAAAAAGTATAAACTATTTTTTTTATTTAAAATTACTATAAAAAATTTTTTAATAAAACAAATATAATTAGAAAAGTGATTTTTTTTTAATATTATATTTATTATTATTACTTATAGTTTTTATTTATATAATATATTATATAATTTTTTTTTAAATAAATATTGAATTAAAATAGTTTTAAATTAAAGTATTCTTTATACTATAAAGTTTGCTATATTAATTAAAATTAAAAAAATATAAAATATTATTATAAATATATTTTTTTTAATGTTAAGGTGAGACATGTCTCATTATCTTTATTAATGCGTAATTGTTATTATTACATGATTAATTTTAAGATATAAGATATATGAACAAAATTGTACATATTCGTCTACCACTTATTGTAGTAGATATATTTCTAATAAAAAACTCTTGAGCAGGGAAAAAGTAAGAAAGAAACTATTTACATATGAGGATAGAATAAATTATATAAAAAAATTTGAGGCACAAGAT